TATTGTTTAGTTTTTTCCTGCATATACTGAATAATTGCACTCAGGCTGCATTTACAGTTAAAACAGGACTAGAGATGCTGCCATTAATAGTCAATGACTGGATCGGTCAGCACAAGTTCAGGATCAGTATTCTTAGCTAAAGACATACAATGAAAGGTAAAGTTTGATAAACAAAACCAGAGTCAGGAAGCAGGCCACCAAATACGAGATTGTAAGAAAAGTACAATGACCAGTTTACTGTGAAAACTGGGCAGGGTTGAATCTGGTTGTTGGTGTTTTATTGGTGAGCAGGGCCGCCATCAGGCGGTGACAACCGTGACTGTTGTCACGGGCCCGGCGGCCCTGGGGGGCCCGGACTGCTCTGGCAGTCCTGGGCCCCACTTTCCCTTTCTGCACACATAGATAGCGAATATCACTATCTACGTGTGCAGCCGCGGGCCCCCGGCTCCCTGTTACCGTCCGCAGAGTGGGCACACGCAGCACACAGCTTCTCCTCCTGTCTTCTCTCTTCTCATAACTCTCGCGAGACCCGCGGAGCGTTGCCATGGTAACCGGGTCTCGCGAGAGTTATTAGAAGAGAGAAGAGAGGAGAAGCTGTGTGCTGCCTGGGCCCCCTCTGCGGTAACAGGGAGCCGGGGGGCCCCCACCGGACCACCAGGGATGGAATCTCCCCCCTCCATGGACACAGGTAAGCAGGGAGGGGGGAGAAACATTTAATTAAATTAATAAAAAATTAATGTTAAAATGTCCCTTCCTCCCCCTCCCCCAGATCACACATTTACACAACACACACTGCATACACTAACACACAACACACACTGCATACACTAACACAACACACACACACACTGCATACACTGACACAACACACACACACTGCATACACTAACACAACACACACACTGCATACACTAACACACACATACACTGCATACAATAACACAACACACACACACTGCATACACTAACACACAACACACACTGCATACACTAACACAACACACACACACTGCATACACTGACACAACACACACACACTGCATACACTAACACACACATACACTGCATACAATAACACACACATACACTGCATACAATAACACAACACACACACACTGCATACACTAACACACACATACACTGCATACACTAACACAACACACATACACTGCATACAATAACACACACATACACTGCATACACTAACACAACCATACACTGCATACACTAACACACACACACTGCATACACTAACACACACACACACACACACACTGCATACAATAACACACACATACACTGCATACACTAACACACACACACTGCACATACGCAACACACACACACACACACACACACACTGCATACAATAACACACACATACACTGCATACACTAACACACACACACACTGCATACACTATACACACATACACTGCATTCACCAACACAACACACACTGCATACACTAACACAACACTGCATACAAAACACACACATACCTGCATTTCACCAACACAACACACACCATACACTAACACAACACACACACACTGCATACACTAACACAACCATACACACTGCATTCACTAACACAACCTTACACTGCATACACTAACACAACACACACTGCATACAATAACACACACATAGACTGCATTCACCAACACAACACACACTGCATACAATAACACACACATACACTGCATACACTAACACAACACACACTGCATACACTAACACAACACAACACACACTGCATACAAAAACACACACATACACTGCATTCACCAACACAACACACACTGCATACACTAACACAACACACACACACTGCATACACTAACACAACATACACTGCATTCACTAACACAACATACACTGCATACACTAACACAACACACACTGCATACAATAACACACACATAGACTGCATTCACCAACACAACACACACTGCATACACTAACACAACACACACTGCATACAAAAACACACACATACACTGCATTCACCAACACAACACACACTGCATACACTAACACAACACACACTGCATACACTAACACAACACACACTGCATACAACACACACTGCATTCACTAACACACACACACACACTGCATACACTAACACAACACACACACTACATACACTAACACACACACTGCATACAATAACACACACATACACTGCATTCACTAACACAACACACACTGCATACACTAACACAACACACACTGCATACAATAACACACACATACACTGAATCAAAAAAATAGAAAGACATACACAGGGTACCGGAAGGTAGGGACAGAGAAAAAATCCCTTGCCCCCCTCCCTTCCCCTGGGTAAGTATGGTCACCTAAACTGGGTAATAGGGGATAACCCAAGAGATAATGAATTAAAGAAAAAATCCCAAAAAGGCTGCTTTACTAGAATGCAGCCAATAGGAAAAGAACCCAGTCCAATCTCAAAAAGAAGTAGTATAAATAATACCAAAAATAATAAAACTTTATTAGGATAAAAAGTTGACCAAAAAAGTCTAAGGTCTAGTACTAGGAGGGGTATAAAACATATACA